ACACACACACTCCAAGCTGTCTATCAGAGCATTCCGCTAATGAAAAATCAGGTCATTTTCTGGAAGATGGAAAGATGGGTTTCACCACCAAAGGAGATAAAAAGTCAATGTTTATTGAACATGTACTAGGCACTGGTCATTTGTCCTCAGCACTTTCCATGCATAAACTCATCTAAATCTTCATGGCAGTCCTGTGAAAGAGGTATTGTTTTTTATTTCCATTTTATAGAAGATAAAATAAAAGTTAAGCAATGTGCCCAAAGTCCCACACTGGTAAGTGGATGTTGGGATTTAGCCCAAGTGTGTGCCCTTGATCACTTCCCCATGGGGTCTCCCCCCACTTGGCTGTATGAGTTGCCGCCGACATGGTTGGTTGCCCACATAACTGGCCTTCCTATTCCGAGAGCCCTGACTTGTTTAGGAGGCAGTGTCTACCTCCCTTGATGGAAGCCAGTTATCTTAGTCTGTTCAGGCTGCTATAACAAAATACCATAGGTTGGGTGGCTAAACAACAGTCATTGATATCTCAGATCTGAAGGGCTGGGAAGTTCAAGATCAAGGTGTTAGTTGTATTGGTTCCTGGTGAGGACTCTTCTTCCTGATGTGCAGATCACCACCTTCTTGCTATATCCTCACATGCTGGAGAACGAGATCGCTCGTCTCTCCTAAAAGGACACTAATCTCATTCACAAGGGCTTTGCTCTCGTAACTTATCACCTCTCAAAGGCCCCACTTCCTGCCCTGGCCAGGTCGCTAAGGTGGTTGGGGCATCGTCCCATACACCAAAATGTTGAGGGTTTAATTCCTGGTCAGGGCACATATGGGAGGTACCAATTAATGTTTCTCTCTCTCCCTCTTTCTCTCTCTCTCCCTCTTTCTCTCTCTCTCTCTCTCTCTCTCTCTCTCTCTCTCTCTCTCCTCCCTCCCTTCCACTCTCTAAAAAAAGCAATGAATAAAATATAATATCCTCAGGTGAGGATTAACAAAAACAAAAAGAAAGAAAATGACATAGTTGGAAGCCTAGTGGAGACCAGCAGAGACCATGACGTGAAAGCTGAAGCAGACTGACAGGGGAAAGGAGTGACTTTTTAACATTTATTTGGATCCTTCCTTTATCATTTGTGGATGCGGGGGACATCTTGGGACGGCTGGGAAGAAGAAATGCCTGATCACAGAGATGGAGCATTGGTCTGTGATGTGAAGCCTGGATCTGAGTCCAAGTCCTACCACAGACCTCCTCTATGACTAAAAGAAAAACTCTGATTTTCTATACACTCTGCACACCTGACACCAAATTGTGGGTTTTTCCACACCAAGCAATTCTCCAGTTCTCAGTGGACACCCTGCCCAGAGTTAGCACAGACCGGTTAAGGACTCAGGCCTACTTCAGATGCCAATCAAAAGTCCGGGCCACCAATATTTCCAACCAACTCACTATGAACTGGTGTTTCCAGGAACCCCTCTTCAGGTTCTATAATTTGCTAGAACTGCTCACAAAACTTAGGAAAACATTTACCTGCATTCACTAATCCTACATAATAAAAGCCTAATATGCTAAGTGTCCAACAGTTCATTTGATCGTTCAACCAGTCGCTGTGATGCACACTGACCACCAGGGGGCAGACACTCTGGTAGGTTAGCTTGCTGCTGGGGTCCAGCCAATGGGGACTGGGCAAGACGGGCTGGACATGTCCTGGAGCCAACCTCTCGTGGTCCCTCCCCTTTGTCTGCAGAGGGAGCAGAGTCCCTTCATTGCAATGAGGATGTCAGAGAGCCAGTTTTGGCCCAATCCCTGCAGGCCAGGCCAAGGGACCCCACTGGTGCACGAATCTGTGCACCAGGCCTCTCATTTATTATAAAGGATACTAGAGGCCCAGTGCACAAAATTTGTGCATGGGTAGGGTCTCTAGCTGCTGGCTGCAGGCCGGGGCCTCCCTTCCCCCGGCTGCCTGCTGCTGCTGCTGCCGGCCAGGGCCTCCGTTCGCACCCACCTTGGCCTGGCACCACCCGCTCACCTGCTCCACCATTCCACCACAGTCCCGCTCTCATAGGGGCCCATCAGGCCAGCAGCACCTCCACTGCCATCCACTGCCAGCACCACATCACCAACGCCCTCCATGTTCTGCGCCACCCCCTGGTGGTCAGCGCACGTCTAACTCCTGGTCGGTCAAACTCCCGCCAGTGGGGACAATTTGCACATTAGCCTTTTATTATATAGGATTACAAAGGATACAGATGAACAGCCCCATGGGAAGGAACATAGGGCAAGGTATGGGGGAGGGGTGTGGGGCCTCACGTCCTCTCCCAAAACCTTCCCAACACATCCACGTGTTCACCAATGTGGACACTTTCCAAACATTGTATTTTAGGCATTTTTATGAGGTTACATCACATAGGCATGATGATTATTAACTCAATCTCTAGCCCCTCTTCCCTCACCAAGAATGGGGGATGAGGCTGTAAGTTCCAAGCTTCTAATTATGTCTTGGTCTTTCTGGTGACCAGACCCCATCCTGAACCTGTCTGGGGCCCCATCCATCTCATTAGCACACAAAAAGACACTCTGACCACTCTGGAAATTCCCAGGGTCTTAGAAGCTCTGGTGTCAGGAGCGGGAGTCAGAGAACAAGTAGAATAAAAGATGTTCTGAGCGTCCTTATCTCTCAGGAAATTACTAGAGTTTCAGGAGCTTTTAGCCAGGAACTGGGGGCAAAGAGCAAATATATTTCTTATTATACCACAATAACTTTGAGCAAGCTATTCCCCTCCCCAGACCTCTGCTTCCTCATGTATAAAATGAGGGGTTTCAATGATCTCTGGAGCCCTGTTCGGTTAGTGCATAGAGGAATTTTTAAAATGCTTTAGAGCCCGTCAAATGCGATCTCAGTTCCACCGTTAATCGGCTGTACAACTTGGGCAAGCTCTACACTGCTCTAGGTCTCACTGTGGGCAGGAATAATACCTTTGCTTGGGGTGATATGAAAATGGCATAAGCTTATGTGTAGGGAGCAGGCAGTCCTGAGCTTGGTACATACATAGCAGGTACACAGGAAAGGCTACTTCTGTCCACCCCTCCGCCCTGGGTAAGGAGGTGAGTCACTGAGCTGTCAGCTGGCAGACACTCCTGAAAAATATTACCCAACATTCCCACGTCAAAGGATTAGTCTCATGTACTATTTCAATTTCCTGAACCCTAATGGCACTGAGATGATGAGTGTGTGCATTTGTTTAGTCTCCTTGGATTAATGAGCTTAAACGCGCTTCCTGAGGGAGAGTAAGTGTTGAGACAGCCCCAGGGAGCCCGTGAGCTCAGCCATCTCTCAGCATGATGTTGGGGACCCTGAGCTCAGGTGACTCATCCCTGAAAGGGACACCTTTGTGATGCGTCGCTGGAGACCATGCTGCCTATTTCTCCCTGTGGCGTGATTATGGTCTGTGCGTTAACCGGCTTCTCCTTTGGTTGTAAGCAGACCCTCATGCCTGGATGTGACACTGTTCCCCAAAGCATGTCACCTCCCTCAAGCACAGATTGCTCCTCTCTGCCAGGGGTTTTCTATACTGACTCTGTTTTGACTCATCCTAGAAAGAAAATTACTAGCAATGAAAAACTCATCAAGCTGAGCACTTGGGGTTTCTGCCTTTTCCTGTGTGTATGTTACATGTCAATTACAATTTCACCTGAAAAAATTACCAACAAAATATTGTTTAGGGTTGTTTTAAACTTAAAAGGACCCTAGCTTGTTTTGATCAGTGGTTAGAGGATCAGCCCTCAGATGGAAGGGTCTAGGGTTCGATTCCCATCAAAGGCACGTACTTCGGTTGCAGGCTCCATCCCTGGCCCCGTCAGGTGTGGGAGGCAAACCAATTGATGTGTCTCTCTCATATCAATATTTCCCTCTCTCTGGCTCTCCCCTTCCCTTCCACTCTTTCTAAAAAATCAATGGAAAAAATATCCTCAGGTGAGAATTAACAAAATAAATAAGACTAAAAGGGAACTTTTAGTCTTTTCAAAATTATATAACTACTGGAAGCCCAGTACACGAAATCGCGCAGCCCCGCCCACCCACGCACGCCTTGCCACACTTGCAGCCCTGCCCACCTGCGCCGGTCTTTGGTCATTATGGCGTTAGGGCCACTGAGTTTTTATAATATAGATTATATAAATATGACCTCCCTGTAAAAAGGTCAAATAATACAGAAGTATAATCGTAGCTGCCATTTATTGTTTTTATACTATTAGTGCCTGGCTCGGGCCAAGCATTTTACATAAATCATCTCAATTAACTCTCAAAGCAAACCTGTGAGGTGGGTATTATTATTATCATTATTATTATTAGTATTAGAGGCCTGATGCACAAAATTCATGCAAGAGTAGGCCTTCCTTCCCCCAGCTGCCGGCATCAGCTTCCCTCTGGCCACCGGCAGGCACCTGGGACCTGGGCTTCCCTTGCAGCCCTGGCTTCGTCCAGAAGGACATCCGGTCTAATGAGCATATTATGCTTTTATTATTATAGATCCCTCAGATGGTGTCAGGAACTTGCTCAGGTCACAGAGTGATAGGAACTTGAACCCCGGCAGTCTGATCTCTCAACTGGGAATATGAGTCCCACGTGGTAGTTGGAGTTCAGGAACGATGGAAATCAGAGTAATTTGGGGGAAAGCTTTTCAGCTCTGGGCGCCATTTACAGGAGGGGCACAATCTGGATGGTCAGGGAAAAGGGTCCCTCACACTCCAGTAGAGGGGGCAGTTGAGTCAAACACCGACTGTAGAAAGGGGGGTGGTATCCCGGGTGTTTGACAGAGACGAGACGAGCCAAATAGGACGTGTTGATGACATACAAGTCTGGGTTCTGAAGAACTTAACATGGAAGCCCTCTTAGGTTCTAGAGTGAGAGCACGGCACCATGTGTCTATGAAAGCCAATTTGGCAGACATAGTGATCATTATGTGTGCACCAAGGAGAAAGAAAGAACGTCCTCATTCTGAATTTCTGTTTCAAGAGCTCACTGCACTTCCTGGAAGACGGGCTTTCTCATGAATTTTCGGCAGGACTGATAAATTATGGCCCACAGCCCAAATCTGGTGCCTGCTTTGTTATACAATCCACAAGGTAAGACTGGTTTTTGCATTTTTAAGTGGTTGGGGGGTGGGGGAATCAAAAGAAAAATGACATTTCGGGATACATTAAAATTATATGAAATTCAAAGTTCAGTGTCTATAAATATGGTGTGTTGTGTTTTTTTAACACAGCCATGCCCACTCATTTACGTTTTGTCTTTGGCTGCTTTTGCGCTACGACAGCAGAACTGAGCAATTGTGACATAGACCGTGTGGCCTGCAAAATCTAAACTTGTTACTAGCTAGCCTTTTATAGAAAAATTTTGTGGGGTCCTGACCTTCAGAGAGAACCATGGGAAGTAATTAGAGACTGACGAAATTGCTAGAGATGGAAGAACTCTCGTCTTCCAAGGATGAAGAAATGAATGTCCAGAGAGGGGAATATTAATCTTTGATTCATTGATTTACTGACTCATCCAATAAATCAATGATTCAGAAAACACTTATTGAGAGCCTAATGTGTGTCAGGCTTCCTGACTCAATTTTCACTTCCAAGAGACACCAGGATTCGAGGCCAGCTACCAAGGCCACATGGCCGAGGCGGCAGGGCTCTCAGTGCCCTGCAGCTTTGACCAGAGGTCCAGAGCCCACTCCCACCTTCTTCTCTGGGTTCCAGCTGGGAGTTGGACTGTGCCCAGTGCATATAAAGTTGGCCAACAGATTTCCTGCAGACACCTGCTGATGCAATCTGGAGTTTCCACAACAGCATTTGTCCTTCACACCCTTCGCTTCACTGAAGGAGATATTAAATTTTGTGACTTCATGTCTTAGTTTCTACTTTTATCCCCCAATCGCTTGCCAAGATGGTGCCTACACTGAGACATATAAGTTATCCCATTGGATGGCTCAGCAAGCTCTGAAGGAGAGAGAGGGTCTGGCCCTGGGTTTCCCTAAACCTAGCCCCGAGGCCCTGGGCTGAGTGACCGGAAAAAAATTAAAGATGTGGGCAAAGATTAGGCTCTAAACAGGTGAGAGAGAGGGGACCACTGGGAGAAAGAAAAAGGAGGAGGGAGAGAGGAGGAGGGAGAGGGGGAAGATAGGGAGGAGAGGGGATGGGAGGGGAAACAAAAGGAATATCCAGTAAAGTGCATTGGTTACATACATAATTTTCCAACTATACAAGGAAAAACTCAACAACTATTAAAGGTCTTGCTGGCCAGCTTTCAATATTTTCTCAAAAGACAGTTGAGAAATGTAGAAAATATAATTGAGAGTAACATAAAATTGAGAAAATACAGCCAACACAGACTGGGTGAGGTAAGACACTAAGGTGCTAGGGTCGCCAGATTTGGCAAATCATAACACAGGGTGCCCAGTTAGCTTTGGATTTCAGGTAAATGTCAAGTCGTTTTTAGTATAAGGAGGCCCCCCATGCAATATTTGGAACACACTTACACTGAAAAATGATCCACTGTTTACCTGAAATGCAGATCTAACTGGGCGTCCTTTGTTTTCTCTGGCAATCCCATCAGGTGAGGGAGGCCAAAGGGAGGCCAGACTTTAAAAATCAGCCTCCTTTTCTAAACTGGCATTAGCCCAGGAGGCCTATTTTGTGCTTGGGGAGGAGGGAAGTCTACAGGCCAGAGTGGTTAGAATAATGGCCAATCTCCTACCTTATTCCTCTCCATTTCCACTGGAGAGCCCTCTGTCCATGAGTTTCTAGAGATGTGGGGGTTTGAGAAAACGGCAATGAAAAGCCCCAAGGAGAATTAACAAAAATGGCCAGCGAAGTGATGGGAGTAGAAAATTGGAGACAATTTGGAAACATATGTCGAGGGGTTTGAAAACATTTAAACTCTTTAGTGATTCCCATTTCTAGGATCTCATCCGAAGGAGATAATTAGGGTACCATAAAGACTTAGCTATGATTATGTGCAATACAGCCGAGCTTGCAATAGCAAAAAGCTGGAAGCGACCAAAATGTTCAACAATAGAAGGGGATTGCTTAAATAAATTATGGTATGTAGGCATAATGGAATTTCACATTAAAATGATATGCAGAAGAGATGTTATTGATATTTTTAAAAACTGGTTTAAGAAATATTGATCCAATTTTGCAAAGTACATATACGTAGAAAAAAAAAAGATAGCAAGACTCCATTCAAAATGTTACAGTGATTATTGTGAAGAAATTTTTATTTCCTTCATTTGCTCTCTGTGTTTAAATTTTTTTTTTATCATATGCATGTATTACCTGGATAACTTTTTAAAGTTTTTGTCTTGTTTTTAATATATTTTATTGATTTTTTACAGAGAGGAAGGGGGAGGGATAGAGAATTAGAAACATCAATGAGAGAGAAACATCAAACAGCTGCCTCCTGCACATCCTACTGGGGATGTGTCCCTAACCAAGGTACATGCCCTTGACTGGAATTGAAGCTGGGACCCTTCAGTCTGCAGGCTGACGCTCTATCCACTGAGCAAAACCAGTTAGGGCTAAAATTTTCTGTTTTAAATTACGATGGGCCACCCCTTTTGTGAAAAATATCCACCTGTCCGAATTCAAATAACAGACCCCGAGACAGAAGTATGGCGAAAACGAGACTTTTAATATGTTCTCAAGGAGGAGTGTCTGCCCTGAGCACAGCCTATTTACCCTGTCCCTCCTCCGGTTCCTCATTGGCTGAGTACGATGGGATCACCTGTGTCCTCATAGGTCACCTAGGCTTTATTGTCTCCTATTGGGCAATGGGCTAAGGCCTTTTCTAGTTGCCTCCACCTCCCCCTACCAAGTTGAGACCGGCACCTTGGGGGTTTCCACCATGATGCTCGCTCACACCCACAGTTCTTTGTTCTTATAGCCTCTTCCCTCCTCCCTACATTCTGCTTGCCCTGGGGAAATTCAGTAACCGTTCCCATTCGAAGTTGACTGTGCTGGAGATGGATCACAGAGCCTATTTCCCACCCTTTCCTCAGAGGCAAACACAACCAGTCTTGGGTGACAACAGCTCCAACAGAAGCCCCTCCTTGCCCTGGTCTCGGCGGCCTCATCTCTAGCCACAGAGCTCACCTTTGAGCTAGCAACCCATCTGCATGCTTGTGTGAATCCTGACCTGCATCCCTCAAGCCTTGGCTCCCTTCAACTCCCTTTCCCACCCCAGGACATCTCTGTCTCCTATGCATCTTTCAAGACAACCTCAGCACCCACTCTGGAGCCTCCCTGCTGCTCCCAGCCTGGATCAGCTCCTCTGCCTTCATGCTGCCCCAGCCCCCGGGGCCATCCCACAGCTCAGCCTCCTGACAATCATCGAGGCACTTGTGTCTCTCCCTAAATAGACTGTGTACCCTTTAAGGGACTTTGACTCTTCCCTCTGTGGTTCGCGCTGTCATCCATGCCTGACACATGGCAGAAAGCAAGTGATGAAGAAAGGAAGACAAGCTGGCAGGCGGGCAAAGAGGAGTACACGCAGTCCTGGATTTTTATTGAAACAAGGCCTCATGACTACAAGTGCATGTGGAAAATTTTCAAATCCTATGATAGAGGCCCCACAAGGGCAATAGTATCAATCAAAGGCAGTGAGTCACCCCCCAGAGAAATCCAATTAAACATTGCAATTCAAGTGATCCTGCTTGGCATGCTACTCTCAATACAGTTTCTATTCTGAGCTCTCTCAGCATTTGGGCCCTTCTGTGCCTTCCATTCTCCACTACCTGCTGAGTTCCTGCCAGTGGGATGTCTCCTCTCCCAAACCTTCCCTCCCTGCCCCCACATCCATCTCTCTCTCCCATGCTGATACCAACAAAAGCATTCATTTGAGCACTGGGCCTAGTACTATCTCACTTAATTCTACAATCTATAGGGCAGGTTAGGTAGAAAACTGGTTAACAGCCCCCAGGGCAATAAAACCATAGGGCTAGCTTTTCTACTGAACAAAAACTAAAATTATGGAAACCCATGAATTTGTAGTTGGCTAGACAGAAGTGGGGGTGGCCCAGAACTTGAAATTGGCATCTGAATTGAAGGCAGTTTTGTGGGAGTGAGCCCTGAAACTTGCAAGATCAGACCCTAACTCCAAGTAGATAGTGTCAGAATTGAATTGAATTATTGGATATCCAGTTGGTGTCATGAATCAGAGCACTGGTGTGGAAAAGCAACACATATTCGGTGTCAGAAGAAAACCACGTTTGGTGTCAGAAGGAGTGATAAAGTCCATTTGTATATTGGAACACACCAAATGGGGGCCACCCCAGTGACCTGGCCCACGTCATGGATCTAAACCTCAGTCAGCCTGTACTTACAGGAAACACCTGTCGAGAAAACCTAACGTACACCAATCACAATCCTCTAACTCAGCTTTGGCTAGCTTAGTTCATCCAAGAAAACAGGATCTGCTAGTCTTAGAAGGAGATCCCCAACCTCCTAGCCAAGGGGTCCTCAAACTACGGCCCACGGGCCACATGCAAATACAAATATTGTATTTGTTCCCGTTTTGTTTTTTTTACTTCAAAATAAGATATGTGCAGTGTGCATAGGAATTTGTTCATAGTTTTTTTTTTAAACTATAGTCCGGCCCTCCAACGATCTGAGGGACAGTGAACTGGCCCCCTGTTTAAAAAGTATGAGGACTCCTGTCCTAGCCTATCATGCCCTGTTTCCATGTTGCCTCTTCTAACACTCTGTAAAACTCACTCTTGCCTGAGACCCCGGAGGAAGAGTGCTCCACTAACTGTGAAACACTGTACTACCCCAATCCATGGATTGTTTTCCCTGGGATAAAGGACATCAAACTTGTTACTACATTGTTTTAGTTTTGTCATCTGATGGTGGTGTTATAAAACACTACACAAAAGAGTTTCAGAGAAGTTAAGCAATTTGCCCAAGCTCACCCAGCTAGCAAGCACCTTGGCCGGGACACCAACTCTTAAATAGGCAACGCCCTGAACCTGGATCACTGTTTGTGCTGCCTCTGGCTGTGCTGACTACCTCCCACCACCCACCAGAGATGACAGTCACCCGCCCCTTGCTCATTGTGGCTAAGTAAGTGTTTCCCCATCATTAGTCATTTGCATATGGAAATATCTGCCAGATCTTATGCCCTCTCCCTATTACTTATTCACTATTTTTCTTTACATTGACTCACTTTTCATATAAATTTTTTTTTAAATCTTTATTGTTCAGATTATTACATTTGTTCCTCTTTTTTCCCCCATAACTCCCCCCTCCACCCAGTTCCCACCCCACCCTCTGCCCTTACCCCCCCACTCTCCTCATCCATAGGTGTACGCTTTTTGTTGCTGGGTCATACACATGGAAAATGTAGCTATTTCCATCCACGATGTGTCCCTGTGTTCGGCCACACAGGACTGTCTCAGCCTCACAGGGACTGTTGCAGCCTCACAGGGACCATCTCAGCCTTACATGGGCTGTCGCAGCCTCCCAGGGACCGTCTCAGCCTCAC